AAAAATAAATAATGTTCGGTTGATTTCGTTAATGATCGTATAAATTCGTTACCTTACGAATATTAACGAATTTTAACGAGGAAAAGTTTTTTTTTTTTTTTGTTCAATTAAAAATATACAAAGAAGGACGGGCGACGGGGGAAGGGAAACGTACGTAAAGTAAATATGGCGGAACTTTTTTTTTTTTTTTAAAAAATTTTCTTTTTTTATTTCCCCCCGCTCCCCTACCATTTCCGGTTTTTATATTATCCGTTGAAACGAATTTGAAAATAATAAAAAAAAAAAGAAAAAAAAAATTTTTTTAATTAAAAAAATTTGTTAATTGAATAATCACTCGGTTAAAAAGAATTTAAAAAAAAAAAAAAATTTAATTTAATTGTAATTTTTAATTGATGTTGTTGTTCCCACCGCTGCTGCTGCCACGATTATTTAAACGTTTTAAAAATTATTATTATTATTATTTTAATTGGTTTTTTTTTATTTAATTCGAGAGGGATGGGGATGGGGAAGGAATAAAAAATTACGGGATTATTTTCCACTGAAAAAAATTTTTTTTTTTTTTTTTGCGGAAGATGGCGTGGGGGAGGGGGAAATTTGACGTAACTTTTTGAAAACCTCTCGACACATTTTAAAAAAAAAAATTTTTTTTTTGCTTTAATTTCAACAGACAAGATTCGAGGTGTTAGTCACCATCACGGAATTCAACAGCCAAAAAAAAAAAAAAATTCAAGAAGAACGTTCGAACGAAAAACGGGGAAGAAGACGAGGTAAGGAAACGCACACGCACGCACACGCACACGCACGCACACGCACACGCACACGCACACGCACACACAAATCGAAGTTAGGTGCAGACGACGAGAGAGTGAGAGAGAAATAATTGAAAACGTTCCAAAAGAAATAATTTTTTGATTTTGTTTTTTTTTTTTTTTTGCTGTGGTTGTTATTGTTGTTGTTGTTGTTGCTGTTGTTTGTGTTGTTGTATACAAAAGAAAAAATTTCGGGTTAAATGTGAACAACACGATTATGTTGGAAGATTTTTTTTTTTTTTTTTTTAATTTGGCATTGATACAAATAAATACCGAAAAAGAATTGTTGTGCGTGCGTGTGCGTGTGTTTGTATGTTTGTACGTTTGTTTGTGTGTTTGTAGGGCGCTGGTGTTCTTTTTTTTTTTTTTTTTACATTTAACCAGTTAATTCTTGTCGAATTCAGTAAATTTTTGTCAAACGGGTCGTTTACTTCATTTTTTTTTTTCTTAAAAGTTTTTTTTTTTTTTTAAAACTTTTTCATTTTTTGTTTTGTTTTGGTTCAAAGTTTTTTTTTGTAAGTAAAACGCGATGATGATGATAATAATTTTTAAAAAAACACAAAATTATCATTATTATTATTATTGTTATTAATAATTCGTTTGTTAATTTAAAAAATCAAAGCAAAAAAACAAGTTTAGTCAAATATCTTTTCTTTTTTTTTTTTCTCTTTTCGTCGATAATTTTTTAATACGATTTTAGTAATAATAATAATAATGATAATAATAATAATAATGATGATGATGATTAAAGTTGTAGCTGGATTGTTTTGTCCAGAATTTATTTATAATTAATTCCATAACGGAGGAATATTTATTAAAACAACATCGAGAGATTCATAAAGCGAATAGATAACGAAAAGTTTCTTTTTTTTTTTTTATTTTGTGGTTGTTGTTTGTGTTGTTTGTGTTCATAGTCGATTTCACGTGAAAGATTATTATTATTATTATTATAATTAACAATTTTTGTTTTTGTTTACATTAAGTTTTGGGGAATTTTTAATTAAGATAAGTTAGTTTCGGATGAGATGCGTGTGTGTGTGTGTGTGTTTGTCTGTTGTTGTAAGCGTTTCGTTTGTTTGTTTGTTTGTTGAAATTTCTTTTTTAAAACAAAATAAGAGACGGAAAAAAAAGGAAAGATGAAGAAGGAAAAAACTTTTTTTCTTTTTAAATTTTATGGCGAAAGGTTTTTTGTTTTTTTTTTTTTTATTTCCTGTCGAAAGTTTTCACGTACGGAAAAAAAGAAAATTTCATTTAATGATCCCTCGGTCCCCTCAGATGCCCCTCGAAAGTTAAAAAAAGTCAAAAGTCCAAAATTTTTTTTTTGCAAAACGCATTCGCATCTCTCTTCTTTTTTTAGAGGAAAAAATGATGATAACGATGATGATAATAATAAGGAAACAAACATGGAGTTGAAAAGTAAAATTTGCTAAATCAAAAACGTTTCCGTCTTTAATTTCCAAAGGTAAATGGAATCCATTAAATTTTAGTAAAATTTTTACTGGAAGTTTAAAATAAAAAACTTTTCAAATTATCGAATCTGGAAAAGTTTGACGTGAAAGAGAGAGAGAGAGACGTTTCTTTTTTTTTTTTAAAAAATAAGAGCAACAAGAAATGAAAAAAGGAAAAAATTTTTTTTTTTAGAAATGATGAATAAAAATCGAAACTTACTCATCTTTTGGAAAAAGTAAAAGAGAGAGAGAGAGAGAGGGAGAAAGAGGGAGGGAGAAACGAAGAAGTAGAAAG